GTCGCGTACATTTAGAAATGTGCCAGTTTGACCCATGTCCCTGACGGGATTTAAACCCGAGGCTGGGGTCATAAAAGATGTTAATTTCGTCATCTGCACTAGGGTGGTCCACATTTTTTAAAAGTTCCAAAAATTGAGGAGCGCCGTCCAGATTCTGAAAGAAGGTGGAAAATCATGAATTTTGGTACAAATATGATAAGATTTGGACCATTCTTAGGGGTCCATCAAAGCGCCTGAACTCTAAAGAAAAATTGAAAATGTACTGGTTTAGTAAAATCGATGCTGTTTCGAGAGTCTGTGTCCGATTATCGATTGCAAAACGGCCATGCTTTTGGAAAAGTGCGCTCTATTTGATGATGTACATTATGACGATACGACGCATTGCCTAGTTTCCAGGGGCGTAAAATCCCGTTTTTAGCCCCTAAATACGCCATGTTCCTGTGTTTCGAATGTGTTTGAGTCGTCCGATCGGAGTTCTAGGGTCACCATTTGACGCGCCTGATCACGACCTTTCAAAAAATGTCTCGGGCGTCACAATCGATTGGTTTGCCTACTGTACAGGTGCAAAAAAACACCGAAATTCGCTTAAAAAGTGAACTTTTGTGATAAGGAGTATCTTGTTTGACATCGGGTCGGATTTCTTGTGGTGCCATTTGACGCGCCTGGTCAAAAACTTTCGAGTACCGTTTCGGGCGTCTGAGCCCAGTGAGTTGCCTATCCTACAGACCAATTTTTCGACAATCGACATTTTTTGCTTGTAGGGTCGGTAACCCACCGGATTCATACGCTTGAGACGGTAATAGAAAGTTTTTGACCAGGCGCGTCAAATGGCACCACAAGAAATCTGACCCAATGCCAAATAGGATACTCTGTATCACAAAAGTGCACTTTTTCAGCGAATTTCAGTGGTTTTTTGCCCCTGTACAGTAGGCAAACCAACCGATTATGACGCCCTAGACATTTTTTGAAAGGTCTTGATCAGGCGCGTCGAAAAATGACCCTTAAAATCTGATCGGACGACTCAAACACAATTAAAAATCGGACACAGACTCTCGAAACAGCATCGATTTTACTAAACCAGTACATTTTCAATTTTTCTTCAAAGTTCAGGCGCTTTGATGGACCCCTAAGAATGGTCCAAATCTTATCATGTTTGTACCAAAATTCATGATTTTCCATCTTCTTTCAGAATCTGGACGGCGCTCCTCAATTTTTGGAACTTTTAAAAAATGTGGACCACCCTAATCTGCACCCTTTGCTGCAACTGAGTGGTTCTGAGGACCACCAAAGAAGGCTGCACATCAAATTTGGTCAAGATTTGACCACAAACGGACGAATCGACGAACGGACGGACGGATGGACAAACTTGCGGCCAAGACGTAAGGCCGCCTCAAAAATCACAAATTTATCCGAATGGACCTTTTTTCTTAAAATTCGTGTTCAAAAACAACCCCCCACTAAATTTTTGAGCGTTCCGACAGCGGGAACCCGAGGCGCACAGGGCCAAAAGATTTGCGGGCCGCGGTACGCCTACCTCTAGCTGCTTCTTCTGGGCGCCGCGGCTCTCACCCGGTACATTCAAGGAACGCAACACAGCGTTAGGGCTGTCATTCGGGGTCAAGAACCTATATTGCCCCAATCTGACTGACTCACTGACTCACTGACTCATAGAAATGTTTCGGGTAAAGGAGTGGTCCTAAAGACTTGCGGTTTTTTCTATTCTATTCCAAATTGACTGGGAAACTTAGGAAAAGTTCCAAAGGCTTAAAATTCTATCACCGTTTCCGAGCAAACCTACTCAATCTTCAAAAAAGGGGACCAAATTCCTCACCGTTTCCGAGCAAACCTACGCGTGTTGGCAATTGTCTTCGACCCCCCAAAACAAATGTTAGTTAAAAAATGCCGATTTTTTAAAAAGTTATGGCCTGCCTCAGATATTTTGATTTTCGTTGCAGACCTTTTTTGAAAACTCTGTAAGGGAGTATGGGGCGATTTGTAACAGATTTCGGAATTCGCTATACAAATTTAAGAACATTCTGCGTATCGGTGTCAAACTTGTGCCAGTTGAGCAGTCTGGCCCTTCATCTAGACTGTTCAGCTCCATTGGATCAATCTGGAGTCCGTAATCTTTGAAATCTAAGACGTTTTCCAAACCCTTGCATGCTGTTACGAATCGCCCCAGCATGGGGTGAATTGTAACAGCCATGAGGCTTTTTAAACATCCTACACATTAAATGAAACATCGTCGGGAATGTTATCTCCTCCACCAGTTGTCCTTCGGGTGTCCTGCAGACGTCTAAAAATCTATATTACAAGCTGCCGTTGACCGCTTTAGCAGTAACTGATAGGCTATGTCAATCCTAACCTCACTTTTTTCAATTTTAGAGGAAATCATAGAATACCTCGCTTTAAAATGCATTTCGAGCTGTGTAAATGTATTGGAATAAAACAGCAGATGATTCGAGAAATAATTCAAGCATTTAACAGCAAAAACCAATTTAATTCTTGTTTTTATACGGGTTTGTTACGATTCACCCCAAATGCCTGTTACGCAAGAAATTCGTCCCTAACTATCACTGGACAAAGTGAAAGCAACTTATGACACGTGTTTACATTGTAAAGGGGTCACGCTTCAAGGCTCCAACGGTACTTCGATGGTGATTCATACCTGGGGAGCCTCAGACAGAAACTTTCTAGAACTCAAAATAAAAGATTTTCCTGTTTGCCGAAATTTTGGTGTACCCTATATTTCAGACGCCCTCCAAAATTATACCTGAGCACCGATCACATCCGCTTCGATTGTTCAAGGACCCTGTACTTGAAGCGAAAGAGGGGCCATACTCAGATTTTCCTCTGCTCCCTCCACTTGAATTGATACACGCATTTGTTGCGAATCGCCCCTGTTACAAATCGCCCCATACTCCCTTAGTTTCTTCAAAAAGGAGGCTACAGAGACTATTCTGAGCTCATTAAAAAGGTATTAAAGTGGATTTCTAGCCCATTGCAAAATTTTGACAAACAGTATTAAATTTGACAAAAATTGAACAAAGTCAAAATTCTGACCACAATTTTCTCAAAAGTGGTAATTTTGATTTTTTTCCTTTTTTGATATGTTAAAGTCCATATTTGAGTCTAGCAACCCCTTAAATGTGGTTGCAAAAATTGATGAACAAGGAAGAAAAACGGTTTTAAGTGATGCGATTTGGCAAATTTTCGCTAGTTGGAGTGGTTTGGAGGGGAGCGTAATGCATATTTTAAACAGCAGGTACTCGATCTTCAACTACAAGTGTCATTCAAAACACTTAATTGGGGTGCTGAAGCTAAAAACTAGGTCAATTTTCGTTTTCGAAATTCCTGGGGGCGTATTAAGAGATGTGACTTTTCAAAAATCAAGATTTTTGTAAGTTGTTACGCGATTTCTAAGTTTTCAGGGGCGAAGATAACGAACCTTAAACGATGTTTAATGCAACTTACCTCTTAAGCTGAATAAACGTACAGTCAAAACAAAAAAAATGTGCAAAAAAGGGTCAAAAAGCCTTTTAAATGTGAACATCTGTGGCCTTTTGCCCAGAAACGGGACATCACGTTGAAAAGAGCGTGACAAAATGTCACGGGCAAAAAATAAGCTTATTTACATTCAAATGAATGGGACAAAATGCTCAAACGAACGTGAAATTTTGTCACGTTCATTTCAACGTGATGTCATGTTTCTGGAATGAGAGTGTAGTGTTGTTCCCCCCTGTAATTACAGTATAAACATGAGAATTGAAATGCGACATTCAAACATCCTGAATAACGAAAAATCGACCCTGTTACTTCGCCCCTAGGAATTTCATTAACGATGTGGGCCAAAGGGGGGAGACTTATCCGAATTTGAATGTTTTAACAATACTTTGGATCAGCTTTGGAGCTTACTTGCATTTAAGATGGTTCAAAGTTCGTTGTCTCCGCTCCTAAATATATGAAAAACTATATGGAACATCCCAAAATCCTGATTTCTTAAAAGTCTTCTCTCTAAATGCGCTCCTGGTATTCATAATAACAAGGTGCGTCAATATAGTCGATTTTTCCCAATTCGAGATGTTTGCATGTTGCATGCTCATTCTTATGTTCACAGGGTTGAGGGGCTGTTCATAAAATACGTCACGTGTTTTAGGGCGGTCGGGGGAATCAGCTAGGTGTGATGAGTTGTGAGGCTGAGGAGGGTGGGGGTGTTGGGTCTTGTGACGCATTTTTAGATATACCGCTTTAATACGACATTTTCGGGTGGGTAAGCAATGAAATCACCCTACTGCGCAGTTAATTAACTGTTTTTAAACTTACTGAAGCGTTTATTATACTCGATTGTGTAAAGACTTAGAGAAGGGAAATTTTGCGCGATTTCTCGCTCATATTCACAAAATACGTGACAAGTGGGCGGGGGGAGGGAGGGTCAGCCGAATGAGACGAAGTTGTGATGAAGGAGGGTGGGGAGTCAAAAATTACCCAAAAACGTATTTTATGAACAGCCCCGAAAAACACCAGCTGTACTTTTTGCATTGGGCCAATGATGTTCACATTATGGGGCTCTTTTAATCTTCTTTTCGCACATTTTTATGTTTTGACGGTACGTTTGATCAGCTTTAGAGCTAACTTGCATTAAACATCAAATAAGATTCATTGTCTTCGCCCCTAAAAACATAAATTGCGCTTTAACACACAAAAATCCTGATTTTTGAAAAGTCCCCCTCCTTGATCCGCCCCTTAGAATTTCGAAAACGAAACTTGATCTAATTTTTGGGTTAAGCAACCGAAATAAGAGTTTCGCATAACAATTTAAGTTGAAGATCGAGAAGAAAATGATAATGCTTAAGTTCTATCATGGCCTTTTGCTAGCCACGATTATAATGTTGCAGACATGTGATGAGAGCTCAGTAGTACCTAAATGGATGTTGTCAGATCTTACCTGGTTTGAGAATCCCCAACCATCTAAACCGTTTCATCAGCACCCAATTTCTTACCTCCTGAAGTTGAAGTGTCGATCAGAGCATTGGCAGCCGTGCCATTCTTGCTGTCTTTGTTCCGAGCGAGGACAGTCACCATGTAAAGAGGGTTTGTTGCCTCCAAGCTATGCTCGCTCCAACAGACCTCCTCTGGCCACACGTTACAGCGACTACTTGCTGCCACGCTGGCATGCTGAGCCCAGCCCGAAAGAAGCGATTTCAGGTGCACTTGATAATCGAGCAGATTGTCACAAGTCACGGGAGGCCGCCACCGGACCCACACGGACGTCCGATTCCAGCGATACACGGTAAGGTTATGTGGTGCAGGAGGCACTGTTTAACATAAAATGTTGACGTTTGAACACAGGACCTTTAAAGAATCTTCAGACTAAAACAAAACAAAGAGAAGACACAAAAGACATTCTGCTGATCTGAAACAAACTCGGTTTGAGGGTTTCTTTCAACACTGAAAACTGCCGCGAAGGAGATGTGAGTGGGTCTGAAGAGGTGTCTTTACTTTTTCAGCAAGCTAGAATCATTTTCGATGATATACCTTTGTAGGCCTTGTTGGTTTATAAGTTTGACATACCAAGAAAAACTCCTTTTGTTTTAAAGTTTCGTTCAGAAAATTACTCGCTTGTTAACGTCGGTCCATCAATGCTGGTGCGCTTCTATGAAGAGCTCTCACCGAATAGCGTTGAACGTGTGATGTGTTATTGTCTGGATAAAGAAAGTTCAATGTGTTTTTGTCTGGATTAAAAAAGTTCGATGTGCTTAAATAAGATAGAAGTTTGATTTTTTTCAGATTGCCGTAGAAACTAGTACCATTCTTTTTGTGTTTTATTTCTAGATCAACATATTTAATGAAGTTCAACTAGTGAATTGACACAATCCATTGGCTAGCTTTTCGGTACATCGTGGCTCAGTAGGAGATTTATGATGCGAGTAACAATCCCTTGTTTGGCGGATCGAACGTTTTTATAGTAGACAAAAGCACAAAGAACTTTCTCTATCCTTTTCTTTAAAGGCTAAAAAAAGACTGTGTGTGAAACAGTCCTTACTGTGATTTTCACAATTTTCACCATCTAGCCAGATTTGGTTGACGTATCGTCGAACTAAAACATTTGCCTTGTTTCAATCAAGTTATTAATGAAACACGCACTTATGCCAGCAGAATTGTCTTCAGCGTGGTGGCTCAGGCCGAAAAAAAGGACAGTTGTTAAAAAATTTTGTGTAAGCCATTTCCGGAAGAATGTGGCTTGAGCATCTCTCCACACGCGTCGTAGCGTGTTGCTACCCATTGCCGAGAATTAATCGGAGAAAAACCTACCGCAAGTGGCTCCAAATTGGATGTAAGCGTCTGCCAAGAAAATCAAGCCCAACAGAATCTTCATGGTGAGTGATGTTGCCAGAGTGAAGGCGTCTGAATTGACCACGCAACAGAATGACAGCGGGTTTAAGTTCGCTTGCTAAAAAGTAGAGGGGGAGAAACAAACAGATAACTTCAGGGCAGAGTTCAAAAGTCTTGTTTTTTGAATGTTTGATAAGAGGGGTGGCAAACCACTGAAGAGGGATTCCACGCGTAAACGTTGTTTGGCGTAAGACTGCTGCCCTGGCACATCGCGCTCACTGAGTGTCAACAGTTAGACCAGCGGCGTAACAGTCCAGTTTAGTCAGCTGTTATACGCTACTACCGGAAGTGTTACGATTCCCCGCCTGAGATGAGAACCACGCAGCGACCACGTCCACCACGCTGTGATAACCTCTCCAACCTCTTCGCTATATCGGATGCCAACGCTCAAGCCCCAAGGATTGCAATAGGCTGCCAAGAAAGGCGGCCTCGTTCGAATCGGATGCCGTATTGACCCTCACACAGAACCTCAGTGTCCACTTCTGCTTGGATTCGCCCAAATATTTTTCAAGCCCGATACAAACACGTTTGCCATTCTTTTTATCTCCTTTTATGAAAGCAGTTCTATCTTGAAGCCGAAAAGATTTTTTCTGCAAGTACTGGGCTACACTCTTAATATTACAGGAAAAAATTTGGCCAATATGTTATGAATATTTAGGGGTTCCCAAGAACCCCTATTGTCCGAGGTCCGTGGATTCTTCCCCCCCCCCCCTCTCCGATTTTCAAATAAACAACTCTAAACTATTGCAACCATGAAAAAAACGAAAATTCCAATTTTTTTCAAAAATTCATCGTGGAAATTTTCCGTTAACGCGAAAAACATAAATTTGCAACAATCGAAAACAAGAACCGTTAATGATATGAAAAAATGGTTCAAATAAAAAATGTGCCACTCCTCAAAACTAAACCTCCTGGCTCATCAAAGTAACAAGAAATCGTATATGTTCTGAGCAAATGGTCAAAACATGAAAAAAAAATCACCATAGCAACGGCATGGTCCCATCGTACCACCCGTCAAAATTTAAAGTCGCCCATTAAAAAAAAATCTAAATGCCGTGAAATTTGAAAATGCTAATGCTAACACATTGCACGGTGTCTCAACGTTGGAACATGTTTAAAGTCTGTCACTACTAAAAAGTTCGTAGCATAACGACGCATCAAATTAATTTTCGTGGGTTGGCACCAATATGCTTGCCGTCTGCGCCTTTTCGAAAATCGCGAGGCTGAAAGAACGAGCAGGCGCCCATTGAAACTGCCCCTCCATTGTTGCTGAGGTTGGATTGTTTGGCATGCTCTCAAAGGCTGCGGTTGTCTTGTCATGTTTTCCTCGATTTTCAACCAGTTATGGAAACGGGAACACCGTGCAATGCGATTAGCATTGGAATTTTTTTTCTTTGTAATCCACGATGAAATTTCATAGTTTTTTGCCCGTCCAATTTATTTTTAATAAAAAAAATTCCAATGCTAATCGCATTGCAGGGTGTTCCCAGTTTCATAACTGGTTAAAAAGTAAGTTTTGAAATACCAATAAAAATGAGTCCTGGTTTGGGAACGGTATTGCAGCAAAGTTTGTCAAAACAGTAACAAATGTGTAGAAATCATCGTTTGGCCTAACTTTAGGCAGCCACTGCGTCTAATCTAAGGCGGCTAATCGTTCTCTCTCAACGGGTGGGTGTTCTTTGTGCCTTCCTTTGAAACACCTTTGTTACGGAGTTCGATTAGCCGTCTTAGTTTGGGAGCGGTATTGCAGCAAAGTTTGTTGAAACGGTAACAAATGTGTAGAAATCGTGGTTTGAGCTGACTTTAGGCATCCACTGCGACTAATCTAAGGCGGCTAATCGTTCTCCCTCAACGGGTGGGTACTCTTTGGGCCTTCCTTTAGAACACCTTTGTTACGGAGTGCGAGTGGGGTTTGTCAAACCAACCGTATAGCTGGTCACAGAATTGAGGAAAACATGACAAGTCAACCGCAGCCTTTAGAAGCATGCCAAACAATCCAACCTCAGCAACAATGAAGGGGCAGTTTCAATGCGCGACTACTCGTTTTTTCAGTCTCGCGTTTTTTGAAAGGGCGCGACACCGAGAAAATTGTTGCCACCCACGAAAATTAATTTATTGCGTCTTTTCTGCTACGAACGTTTTACCAATGACGGATTTCAAAGATGTTCCAATGTCAGGACACAGTGCAATGCGCTAGCATTGGCATTTTCGAATTTCACGGCGTGTTGATTTCTTTTGATGGGTCACTTTAAATTTTGACAGTAGGCATGATGGTGTCGTGTCGTTGCCATGGCGATTTTTTTTCATGTTTTAACCATTTTCTCAGAACACAGACAATTTCTTGTCACTTTGATGAGCCAGGAGGTTTAGTTTTGAGGAGTGGTACATTTTTGGCTGAGCGATAGCGAACCCTGTTACTCCAGTGGGTTTGAAAAATGTTTCATGTCTGTCTGTCTGTCTGTCTGTCCGTGTGTGTGTCTGTGTGTCCGCACTACTCCTCCTGAACGGCTCGGCCGATCTCGGTGAGATTTTGCACACTTTTTGGTTACGTTCTTGGCTCGGCACACGCGAAATCTCACCATCCTAGCCCAACTGGTTTAGTTTTTGTAGGTGAAAAACACTTTAAAAACGGCGAAAAATCGAGTTTTCTGTAGTTAGATCGCTTCTGTCGTGATAAAGGGGGGTCTGGGGGGCCGAGCCCCCCAGCCTGGACAAGTTACAAGGGTCAAGATCAAGTTATCTGCAGCAGTCTTTCTACAATGAAGGGGGGTCTGGGGGGCGGAGCCCCCCAGCACGCAACAAGTTAGGAAAATCGATGATGGAGATGGAAAAGCCATTGCCTGCCGAAGGCAGGCTAGCGCCGCAGGCCAAGGTAGGTACGCCAGGCGCGGATTAGAGAAACAGGCAGCGAGACATCGCGAAGCCTGTTACGAGAAGACGCGGTCTGGCGTAAACCTACCTTGTTTATTTGAACCATTTTTTCATATCATGAACGGCTCTGGTTTTCGATAGTTGCAAATTTATGTTTTTCGCGTTAACGGAAATTTTCACGATGAATTTTCGAAAAAATTTGGAATTTTCGGTTTTTTAAAAGTTGAAATAGTTAGGCGTTGTTTATTTGAAAATCGAAGGGGGGGGGGAGGAATCCACGGACCTCGGACAATAGGGGTTCTTGGGAACCCCTAAAAATTGACGGAGGGACGGGCATATAGTATAATGTATCCTGTGCGTCCGTCCGTCCGTCCTTTGTTTGTCCGAGGACTTCCCGTGGTCCGAGGGGCACGGCCCACTCACCCAGACGTTATTCACCCAAAACCCAACTGACCCAAAGTCAATACACCCACAAGCAATTCACCCCCTAAAATTCACCCGAGGCCCATTTACCCTTTTTTTGATCTCACCCACGCCAAAATAATTCGCCCAAGCCCAAAGTGAGAGCGAGGAGTATTGCTTATGAGTGGGGTATTGTCAAACGCCCCGAGTGGGGTATTGTCAAACGCCACAGAGCGATCGGTGTGGGGGGTATTTCCACAAGACAACAATCAAAAACCGTTGCCCGCGAAATTACTTCTCACACTTTTCGGCCATGGAGCAAAATTTAGCAAAATTACTCCCGAGTGAAAGGGGGGGGTTTATCCTTTCCCACAAAGGGTATCTGTATAGTTACCATTCTGACAACAAGGCTGGGACCCGGCGGCGGTAGTACTGGGTGTGCCGCCAAAAGCCGGAGTGCAAGCAGCGTGCGACCACGGCGACACCCACAGGTAAGCGTGTGGGGGTGGATTCAAGGCGGGTGTGCATCAATGCCTGACGATGATTTGACAACTGTAACACCGTCCCGTAGCCGACTCCGATACCGTCGAGGTCTTCAAGGCCCCCGTTGACCACCCCAACCACATGCCCAGCCCCGAGGAGAGCGAGGCAATCGAGTGCTACCACCGAATCAAGCGGCGTGCCGAAGACAATCCGGAGGCGCCTCCAGCACAAATATGTATTACAGCAGGAGTTGCCCCAGGTGCACATTTGAACTGCCATGACATGTAGTTCGAGAGTTACGGTAACTAATAACTAATAAAGCGTTACGTTCAGGTTCCGTCGGGAGTCCTGCCCCATCTTCCCCTACGAGAGTCTATGAAGAGGACATTCAACAAACGACGCAGCCGAAACTTTCCAAAAAATCCAAAGAAAATAAGTGAAATAGGCGATATTCCTGAAAGATACCAAAAGACTCTCGATGGCAAGGAATTTCTCATCTACGATTCCTGGGACGACGCCGATGAGGATGAGGAACCTCCGGAGAAACGGATGTGTTCGCAACAAAACTGGGACTTCGGAGACTAGCACAATCTTCTGTTCTGCACTTGGATGGTACCTTTGACACTGCTCCTGACATATTTACCCAGATTTTTACCATGCACGGGGAGTATGCGGGCGAAACTTTTCCCTTTGTGTTTGCTCTGTTACCGGACAAGGAAGGGGCGTCATACAATGCTGTCATTCAAGCTGTCCTTGACAAATGCCGTGACATGCGAATTGCAGCCCCGAATCCCACCACCACCATTTCCGACATGGAGCTTGGCATCGTCAACGCCTGCAAGCAGGCCTTCGCCAATGCAGAAACTCGCCTTTGTCTGTCCCACCTCAGGCAGGCTAACTGGAGACGGATGCAGGAGGAAGGCTTGCAGGTCGCGTTTCGTGACCCGGAGGATGACACCGTACGCAACGCTTTCAAAGAAGTTGTTGGTCTTGCTTTCGTCCCAGTTGAAGACGTCCCAGAAGCTTGCGAAGAGGTACTCAACAACCTGCCGGACCGCATGCTTGACTTCGAGCGGACCTACGTCGTCGGGCGGCGCAGGCGAGGGAACCGACGTCGGCAAGAGTCACCCTTCACTCTACAAGCTGATCGGCGAATTCCAGAAGGAGGAGGCAGACGTGAGGGTCATGATGCAGGAGCTGGATGCGGGGCGCAAGATTCGGCAAGCGCAGAAAAAGAAGTACACGAGGATAAACGACCGGCTGTACATCATGACCGACCGCTACCACGAGTTCAAGACTTCAGGCCGCCTCCTGGAGTATCTGCGTGCCTGTGGCAACAATGTTTCTTTGTAAAAATAAAAATAAATTATTCTGGGTGAACAGCTTCCTGGGTCAATCACACGTGGGTCAATTACAACTGGGTGAAATACTTGGGGGTGAATAGCGTATGGGCGAAAATGCTTTAGGTC